TTTTCCCTTTTATTTCAAGTATGCCATTCTGTCTATCCCAAGCTTCCAAAAGTGTAATGGCGTCCAATTCTGGCTTCATGAAAATCTCATTCTTTACATGGGTTTTCTGTCACCTTCCTTCAAATAAAGAAAAATAATAAACCAGTTTTAAAAATTGCACATGACAGTCCTAACTAGCAGGCTTTACACCCATGGCATTCCAGACAAACTGAAAGGAAAATGGAAGCAGAAATAAAAGATGACTTTTGCACCAATCCAGAAAGATGTTTCAACACTTTCAGGTATACATTGGCTGCTTTCAGTTCCGAGAAAAAACCCCACAGCATACAGTGACTGCTCAGCATTAGGGGAGGCTTCAATGCTTCATTTCTGAGCTGCATTCCTGCTGCACTTCCCTCCAGCCTTTATTCCATGTGAGTGCAGTCACAGGCATGATTTGTCCCCAGTGGGAAAAGCTTCTCCCCTGCCACCTCCCCTCATGTGTGCAAGTAACCAGTACCTCCCCAGCACCAGCCTGACAATTGTTTACCACTGGGGAGAGAAGAAAATAGATTAGGCAAACATCTGAAACACTTGAATGTGAAACTGTTGGCTGAGGAAATAAGTAGAGAGAATTTTGCCAAAATGGAGACAGCTTCATTCCAAGGAACTGAATGATTTGGGGCAGCTCTGTGGGATCTAGGAGTCTTATTTCTGAGCTTGCAACTGACACAAAACCAGCATAAATGCACCTGCAGCAAGCCCTGACCTCTGCAAGGTGCACAGGCTGCTGGCACGTGTCACTTTGAGACTGCAGGGATGGACAGGCCACCTGCCTGGGGCTATTCTGCTCCTGCAGTGCCACAGCTGCCTTCTCAGGTTGATGCACTCAGTTCCTCTGAGGCTGTAAAAGCTGGTGTTGTCATGGAGCCAGAATTATCTCTCTGAATGTAATTGTCATGGTTTATCCCCAGCTGGCAGCTAAATACCATGCAGCCGCTCGTTCACTCTCCACCCCAGCCCTGGTGGGATGGGGAGGAGAACTGGAAAGTGATAGAAACCATGGGCCAATATAGGAGTGGTTTAGTGAAGGAGAAGACAGGGATGTAGATGGAGAAGGAGGAGGAGGAAGAGGAGAAGAAAGAGGATAATGAAAAGGAGTGCTACAAAGAGAGAGAGAAGGTTAAAACCTAAGACAGGTGATCCAAAATACAATCACTCAGCATCCTGAGCAGGGATTGTCCTCTCCTGGTCAACTCCCCCCAGTTTATACACTGAGCATGACCTCTGGTATGGAATATCCATCTGGCCAGTTCAGGTTATCTGTCCAAGCCTTTCTCTCTCCTGGATTCCTGTGCACCTGCTCACCAGCAGAGTGTGGGAAACTTGAAAGTTCTTGACTTGGGGTAAACCCTGCTTAGCAACAATTAAACCATCAGTTTTACCAGCATATTCTCTTACAAAATCCAAAGCACAACACTGTATCAGCTGCTAGGAAGAAAACTAATTCTATCCCAGCTGAAACCAGGATATTAATATAGCTAAAGTCTACAGAAACTCTCAACTGAAACTCAGTATGACTTAGGAGAATATTGTTAAAATGAAATTTTGTTTAGAGTGTGACTAAAGGAACAGGTGAGAAGGGGAAACACCACACTGCTGTATGAGAACAGACCACAGCAGACATCCAGGCAGGAAATCAAAAGTGACTCAGAGTCACTTACCGTATTAGGAAGTGCTAAAAACATCACCCCAGATCAGAGCAGGTTGGGTCCATGTACTGCCTTTGAGAGCAAACAGGCATCATCAGCCCAAGTGGACAGCTCTGAAGCAGGATCTAATCAGCATGGCCTCCATCAGCATAGTGAGTTGAGAACAAAATATCCAGGTCAAAATAATACCCACACCCAGCCCTCTCTTCTGCCCCAAAAGCCCAAGACACTGGCTGCCAATACAGCAAATGCTCCAACTCACTATTTTGTTATTCTGGGGTAATTAAATTTTCTTCTGAATCTGTGATTTCGAGGTTGAACTTTAGAGGCATTTAGAGGTAAGTGTAATAAATTCTTTTCTGTTCTACAGAGATATGGACACAAGCCCTTTGAAATACATTTTCTGACAAAACTGAAAAAAAAAAAGTTCAAAAGACCTTGAGAAGTTGTTTCCTCTAAAAATTAAAACCTTAGTAACCCTTTGTTAACATTAAACAGCCAGTCACGTCAGGATCAATGTACTAATGAAACTTTAGGACTGACTGTCTCAGTGTGTTTGAACACTTTTTTTGGAGCAAGGAAGGAATGCTTTATGAATTACTTTTTTAGACTTTGTTATAGAAGACTGGAGAGCTGCCTTTACAGCCTGTCAAGGCAGAGACACAACAGGGATTTTAATGCAAGCTTTCAAAGCCCCTTCACAATTTTGAGATGAAAGATCATTTCCATCTTTTATTCCAGATTCATTTTAGAGGAATGAGTTGGGGGTTTTGTTGCTGTCATAAGGACAGAGGATGTGAGAGGGAAAAAGCAGAACTTCATCAATCAGTCACCTTGTTGTCCTGCATGGCTCAGACTTTAAAAAGAAGCTACCTTCTGCTTTTTGGCCCTTGTAAAGGAGTTTGTGGCTGTACCAAAAACCTGGACTAAGCTTTTATGTTAAGATGATCACAGTGCAGTTCAGGGAAGCTCAGTTTGCTACAAGATTGCAATGACTTTTTTTTGAAGACACAAAATTGAAGTCAGACGCTCATCGGGAGATCTGAGTGCAACTGGCTTTTCAGGCACTGTCCCACATCTCTGTTTTTCAGCAGCAATAAAATAGCTGCAAAAGAAAGGGACTGTAATGATGCTAATGATGGCCAAGATAGAAGAGCTTCAGGCAATACACAGCACCATGATATTCATTTGGATAAGATACAGCAGTCACAAGGTAAGGCAGAACTACTTCTGACAACAAACAGACAAAGTTCAAAGTCTCACCTACTTGGAGTTAAACATGGGCATTTTTCACCCTCAAAAAATAATAAAAAATTCTGATAAGTTGAAAGGATGGAAGAGTTCCCACAGCAGGCCCAAGAGAGAGGAATTTCTGGGTATTTTCAGTGTTATGGCAGAATCTTGGGAAGAAGGGAAGAGAGGGAAGGAGTAAAGTTTGCAGGCACAGATTGAGGTGCCCAGTACAGAAAACACTTTTCAGAAACAGCAGAAATACTTAAAAAATTTAACACCAGTGCAGAAGCAGCTCTTTTTTATTTCCATTCCCAGTTCTCATCAGTGAGATGAGTCCAGACCTCCTAAAGAGGCTCAGCCCAGCCATATCTGTGGCAGGGAATGAGGGCTTACCTACCCAGGAAAGCCATTGTCACAGGGGAAGACAAACCCCTCAGGCAGGAAAAAGAAGTGCCTTAAGCAATCAGTAGCAAATCCCCCAGCCCATGCGCCCTCAGCTCTTTGAAACACTGATAACTCCTTTGTTGGATTTCATTGAAGAAGGTCAACTTTTCAAAGGTTATTGACAAGAACTATTGCAGGCCATTGCCATGCAGTCACATCATTCCATAGCAGCCAGACAATGACTTGCAGAAGGAAATCCTGCAGTTTTGCATGACCTAGCACATCTGGCAAAGTTTCTGCTTTCCAGCTGTCATCAAGAAGGACATGGAAAAGGAGTGCCCAAAACCACTGCTTCTCAGTTTTCTGAAAGCTGAAGAGCCACCTGATTTTCCTGAGAGATAACCCAGATGCTGTCCCATGTTCTGATGTTGTAATGAAGAAAAAGAAAACAAGGATGAATTTTGAACCTTCATTAGGATTAACCTTATATAATTATTTTCTCTGCTTAACTTATTCAGACATACCTACATGAGACTTCTCAGCTTTTTAGGTTGGGGTTGTTTTTTTTAAGTTTTGCAGTCTTTTCAGAGAAATTTTTGAAGTCGTCTGGACTGGAAATACCCCAGGCTATAAGAATATCACTATTCTAAAATTCACTCTGGCTACAAGAGCCTGAGCAGAAAACCACGCTTAACTGACAACCCCTGATGCAATTGAGACTGAAATAGATGGGAAGTATTTTGGCAGAAGATTGCTGACCCTTGTTCTTAAGCCTGAAAAGCTTAACAGACTACCTGCCACAGAAAAACACCTGGAACACTCTTGAAAAATGAGAATTCTCCCAGCATGCTTTTAATGCTCACTAGTAGGTCCACAAGCTGCTTAAGGATGATTCCTCAGACAACAGAATGCTTTAAGCACGAAACAGCATGGCAGAAATAGATGAAAACTGAAACTGAACAAACTGCGGAGGCATGGAAGAATTATCCATTGAAATGAAGAAATTGGATTTCTTCTGTCAAAAAATCTTTATTGTTTGTTATTCCTTTGGCAATTTATCAGTATTTTAGCTTTGCAAAAGATAAATTGTTCTAGGCTCATTTATTTTCCAGTTTCAAACTTAAAGGCAACTGAAAAATCAGTAGTGACTGCTTTATTTATGGAGTCAAATTAATGTTTGATCAACTTTCTGAAGGGAGAATAAACTGAGAAATGGAGGAGGATGGCAATTAATGATGCTCTAAGAAAGCATTTTTCATTTCATAATAAAGAAAACTTAGAGGTTTCAAGCAACTGAGCTATCAGTGCTAAGAGTGGGATCAAGTCATGTTAGTACCAATATTATATTTGTTTTTCAGAAACAAGAATACCCTGAGAGCTTCTTAGTTCAACACCTATACTCTGGTGTTTGGCTCCCACCACCTGGATCACTCACGTTTTTGAGTTTTCCTTGGCCATGACACACTTTTTAAGCACAATCCCTTCAGGAAAGGTTTTAACAGTGCAGAATAGCAGCTCACACACAGCGTTGAATATTTCACCGAGTTCTGGATGTCTCAGAATGCAATTGCATACTCTGAGACAAATATTCTGACTCTTTGGAATGTCTGCTTGGTGAAGAATTCAGTACCACAGAAGTGGAACTCAAGAACCAGCACACAGAGCAAGGCCAGCAAAACAAAGCGCTTCACATAAGGTCAAAAAAAAGGTTTTATTCCACCAAAAATAGAAAATTCTGGGGAAAGGGATGAGGGTGAACAATAGAGAGCAAGCAATCAAGTTTTCCACAATGCCCTCTTGATACCATCAAAGCCTGATTGGCAGGCTGCTTACTTCTCAGGCTGGAAAAGTTAGAGAATGTTCAAAAAGAAAAATACCTGATGTCAGCATGGTGTCAAGTGGCAACCACAAGGCAGCTGCTCTGAGGCAGAATCCTTGCTGTAAACAGGCTTGGAAAATAGAACAAGGCAAATACCTACTATTTGAACCAATAGAATTGCAGGCTAAATGTGCATGTTCTTTGTGAAGCCATGCAAAATGTCTCTGAAATTTTTTCTCCCCACACAGCTAATTCATCTGGTGCCCAGCAAGCCCCAAAAGTTGCAATAACGTTAACTTGGTGCCCTTGCTCTGAGCCAGTAGAGCAGAAAGCATTCTAGTAGGTGAATATTAGATGATAAAATAGAAGGAAGACTTAAAACAGTAAGGTTGTGCAACTCTTCCCTAGAGGCTTTTGCAGCAGGCTCCAGTTTACTGCAAACTCAATACAAAATAACCTGAAAAGTTGCACATGGCTCTTCTGCTCGAAATGGCTGCCCAGAGCAAACCCCAGGCCAAAGAAAATCACAGCTAAAATCCTTAAGGCCTTGATAAAACAATCCCATTTTAAATAACAATATTTATTGTGTATTTAAAAGCATTATAAACACATAAGGCATGTGGCACAGCATTTTTACACAGATGATTTTGTATTACATTTCTCTACCTTAAGTATTCATGTGTGACAAAAACAATATTGTTAATCAGTAAATTTTAGGCATAGCTTTCAATGTATTTTATGATTCTATAAAATGCCTAAGATATTTTGAACTATATTTCCCTTACTGCTCTGAAACAGCAACCTTTTAAAAAGTTGCAACATTTTCCCACATCACACCTTAAAGTATGTAACAGATACTTGCATTTTTCCACTGGTGCCTGCATGATTCAGAGGACAAAGTGCTGAGGATACCTTTAAAAACCTATTTAGGATGTAGAAGTCATGAACAAGAAGAAGAAAAAGGAGGAAAGAAGTATTGCAAATAGCCTCTGTACTCCCTGTAACCCTCTTCTGATTTGGTCTTTTCATAGAGGGGAAAAAGAAAGGGTCATCAGCTACAAGAGAAAATCACTGATCACATCTAGATGCAAGTTCACTGTGACACTTCTCTTGAGCCTGCTAGAGTTTGTTGCCTCATGACACTGAAATCAGAAGCCATTTACTCACGGATAAGAAATTAATAGAAGGGGGGTTGAGGTGTTTTGGGGGGGTGGGTCTTTCCAAGTTTTCTGAAAGAACTATAGAATCTAAAAACTCAGCAATAATATAAAACTAAAGAGCTGATTTTTATTGCATTTATTCCAGGCCTGTCAAGTACTATCAAAATTTCTAGTGTTTTCACCAAAGGAATTCAGAAAAAGTGCAAGAGAAATTGCCCACTCCTCATGCAAGTTAAGCACAGAGCATCTGCAATAAAGGCCCCAAATACATTAACACACATAATTCCACATAGCAGCTTCCAATTAATGCAAGGAAATTAAGATACCAGAGAGAAGTCATTTCCAGTTAAACTTCTAACAAAATTAGTTTTTCAGGCAAAAAGGATGTTCAGTGCAGTGAAACTAGTTTTTCAGGCAAAAAGGATGTTCAGTGCAGTGAAACTANTAGTTTTTCAGGCAAAAAGGATGTTCAGTGCAGTGAAACTAGTTTTTCAGGCAAAAAGGATGTTCAGTGCAGTGAAACTATCATATGGCATCACCTTCTTTAAGTACAGAGAGGTTCTGAGTATTCTTCATTCTGCCTCTTGCATTAGAAGTCCTATTTTCTCTGTCCTTTTGGATCCTTTAGGGTTATGCTTTTAGAAATCCAAGTCCTTCGCACACAGAGGCTGTAGCTCTTGTATATGAACACCCAAAGGAGGTCCTGGAGTTCAGAGTGGAGTTGAACATTGTGGGTAAGTGACAGGATGGGAAGCACACTCCGAGCACAACCTCTGGCAACGTCTTACAGCTACAAAACAAAGGAAATTGTCAAACCTACATTTTCTCTCAACTCTTTTGTCTCATATGAATGCAGCTTGCAATAGCCAGGGTGAAATTCAATAACCTCCTCATAGATCTCATTCCACCGTATCATGAACCTGCTGGCATGAGTAAGAAACAGACTTATGTGCTTCCTAGATGCCAAGGGAACACAGGCACATAGGATTTTTCCAAGCTTAGGAAGCACAACTTTACAAAACTTGGGTACTAAAACATCTGCAGTGAACACCAAGAAAGGTTTTCTTGAAACACAAAATTGGCTGATTCATATCCAGCGTAATGCAAAAATTCAAAACACTTTCACTTTATACTAGAAGATCAAGCTGACACTCCCATGAGGAAAAGGTGCTATCAGTATAGAAAATCCAGCTGCTAATCTTGATTAAGAGCAAAATAAAAATATGTGTATATATATATATTTGCCTCATGGCCTCCATTCCGCACCAGCAGACCTTAGTCTATGCCTGCAGCTGCTGAATGGATGTCATCAATGTCTTTGGTAAAAAAAAGCTGATGTGAAGAAATCATCCCATATGATTGATGGCACATCCTCCAGTGGTGGCACCATTTTCCAGCAGGCTTTTTGCAGGCCATTCACAACAAAATGCACATCTGGTTATATTTGTTCATCTCCAGGCTCATGCTCTTCAGTTTTTTCCCCCTTTGGTCTGTTCTTTGAGCTCCAACATGATGCTATTTGCAAGCCTTGAATTCAATGGGTTGGTGTCACCACTTTTGGCAAGATATTTGCTAAAAGAGATCACAATCTCTTCCTACTTGAGCAGGCTGTTTACCAATAGTTTTAATCACATTTGTTTCTCCTTCCCATTTCCTCATTTTGTTCAGGGACTGAAATACAGTGATTCAGTAATCTCAAACTCAAGCTTACATTTCCCTCAATGATCCTTCTCTAATAATATAGTTCAGAAACCATATGTTTGGTTTCCTGTGTTCCCTCCTATAAAGATAAACTTATCTGCATTATCATCCAAGTTATTTTTATTGAAGTTTATAATTTGCAGTAAGGGATTCAAAAGCTTCTGTGTCTGTTACTATCAGAATTTCTAGCTCCTGAATTCTACCACAATAAAAGCACACATCTTTATGACAAAACTTTATCTCTTGAACTTATCTTTATTTACATCATAAATACCCTAAAATTCATTTAGTAGTACACAAGAAAGATCTCAACTGTTGTATAGCAAAGCCAGACTCAAACTCTCTAGTATTGCCAGTGGCCAATCACTTTTGAGGCTATACCTTCCCACTCTTCCCCACCCTTGAATTTCTATCCAGCAGTTTACACCTATTTAAAACTCTGTGGAAAAAGGTTTTCTGAAAAATCTTCCTAAGAGTGGTTGACAAGCTATCAAAATAAAACGTTTGCAAGCCAGCTTTCCTGGATAGACATCCAAAATGACAGCCAGACATCAGGCTTGATGGTGGGGAGAAACAAGCCCTAATGGGAATGTCTGCACGGCTTCAGAGAGCTGGGCAGCTCTCACATCACTTAATTTTGATGAACTAACCCTTCAGCAGAACAGCAAAATTAATTGTATTTCTAATTCCTCTCAGAACGCTAACAAAAAAAAATTATAAACACAACTGAAATATTAACTACTGTCAAATTTCCTGAGCTGCCATTCATTTATATGCAAGAGATGTTCACAAGTGTAACTCCCTGTGGTCATTGGACTTGCTGAACTCTGAATGCTTCAGTTGGTATGAAAAATATTTAGAAGCTTTTTCTGCTTATTAACAAAATAAAGGTCTGAAAAGCCATTGAGTTTGATTCCCTTTAACTTAGAACCCCACAATGTAATTTAGAATTACATTTTTAATTCCACTTCGTTGTCTATAAAAGTATTATCTTTGCAACATTTCATGGAAGTGGTTAATAGCTCGGAACATATGGAGCTATTATTGGAATATTGAAATACTGTATTGCCATAATATTAATTCTTCTCATTTTAATCTTAAAGTTATTAAAGACAAACATATTTCATATAAATAGCCCCTTGTCTTTTCTAAATTAGAGCACTTCTTCCCACATTGCCATGAAATATTTCAAGGATGAAAACCATATGCTCAAAAGCCTGAAGGACTCACCTTGGAAGAGGCAGATTTGTGGTCACATACCTGTTGCAGTGTGTGGGGCTGTTGTAGAAGAGACTGAGAGGCCCACTGCAATATATTCAGGAGTTTTGTTGTGGGTATATTTCCATAGGAGGCAGATCTCAAATCAGGTCCTCACCCAAAATCAAGACAAAGAGAGAAAGGTTTTTGTTGTCATCTTATTGCAGGGGTTCTATACTGTTGTCTCCTTATCACAAGAGTTTCTCACCTTCTTGCTGTTTCTTGTGAGCTGCTCCCCAGAGCACTGACTCTTCCTTCTTCACAAAGGAGACAAGAGACTCCAACTCCCTTCTCAACCAACCTACTTGCTCTTTTATATTACTCTTCTTCTCACTGGTTACAGCTGTGGCCTGTTAAGGTCAGGCCTGCTCCTAATGTTTGATAATTGGCCCAGCTGCAACTCCATAGGGTGTGATCACTTTCTGCACTATCTTTATTTTCTTATATTCTATTCCCCTACAGGTTGTCCTTCGGTCTAAGAAGCAGTTTTTCCACTGGTTTGGGGATCTATCAGTCCATGAAGTCTTGCAGTCCCAGTACATTCTGGGATGACGTTTTGTAAGTGGAAAAGTAATGGATTCTTTGCTTCTTTGCTGTCAAGGTTGGGATTAAATCACAAGATGGTATTTCTTGTTTGGACTCAGATGTTTATTAGTTCTTATCCATATTACAGTCTCACAAGCTGTGAGTTCTACAGTACTTTAACAAGGTAAAAATGGAGATGTGTCTCTCTCTACAAGATCTTTTAAGGATAAACTCTCCAACTGAGAAATGACACCGAAATTATTTTTACTTTTAACCCAATAACCAACCACCCATGCCTGCAATGCAGACTTTTTTATCCAATTACACAATACAACCCAAATCCATGAAGAGGAAGGTGAAAACGAAGGTAAAGAAGAAGAACCAGCCTCCACCCTAAAACCTCCATCTTGCTTTATATATATTATTATATTCTAAAACATTAAACTCTAAGTTTTCCCAAGTAATTTCTGCAGATGGTAAAATAACAAGTAGGGTCCGAACCTGGGAAACCAGAAATCTGAGCTAGTTATCAGGGAACTGATCAAAATTGTGTTCCTGTCCCTTGAACAAGATCCTGAGAAAGTCCCCATGATAAAGCATTACCCAGGGCTGTGAGAAATCTTTTTACATACCTGATTTAAAGGAAGGCCTTTAACAGATATCCACATCCCAAGCAAGCTCTGGGTTACCAGTTCCACCATTTATCTAGGAGGGAGAGGTAGTCATTCCCGTGAAGAATGAGAACAGATTCCATTTCTAGAAAGTAAAGAAGCTTTTTTACGCAACAGTAAAAGCAGTTAGTGAAATGGATTGGTGTGTGTATATATATACAGAGGTGTGCATGGTGTGGAGTCGTTCTGACAGTACGTAGATCATATCTAACTTTTTATTAAGAACACTGCAAACAGCCTAAAACAGGTGTCAAAAAGGCATGTAAATACATTAGGATAATTATAGGTGCAATGATAAACTTATCTATCTTATTAGATTTAGGGACACTTAAGAATAATCTTAAAATTAGCCTGAAATTCTGTTTAGCTTAGAAATAATAGTTTATCCATAAATTGCTTGTCAAATCACTGAATATAGCTTCAAATGCATGTAAGTAGCTTTAGAGCCTAAGTACCACTGACTTCTAGTGAAACCTCACATTTCTTTTAAGGATCTAGAGAGTAATTCATATGAGGAGCAGCTTAGGGAGCTGAGGCTGTTTAGCCTGGAGAAGAGAGGCTCAGGGGAAACCTTATCACTCTTTACAACCAGCTAAAAGGATGTTTTAGCAAGGTGAGGGTTCTTCTCCCAGGCAACCAGGGTGAGAGGACACAGCTTCAAGCTGTGCCAGGGGAGGTTCAGGTTGGAATTCAGGAGGAATTTACTTCCAGAAATGGTTGTTAAGGATTGGAATGGACTGCCCAGGGAGGTGGTGAAGTCTCCGGAAGTGTTGAAGAAACTATTGGATGTGGCACTGAGTGCCATGGTTTAGTTGACAAGGTGGTGTTTGGTCAAAGGTTAGACTTGATGATTTTGGAGGTACTTTCCAACCCCAATGATTCTATCATTCTATTACCTAAGCCACTAGAGAAGTAAATTTAGATCCAAAAATCACTGAGGCTTTTTTTGAAAACAAAACCTATTCATTGTAACTCGCACACATGTGATTAAATGATTGCACTCTTCTCTAATCCCACAGCTGTTGCAATATGCCAGGAAAATATAGTGATGCTTCTATACAATACATAGGCATTATAGCTTGCTTTGTTGACAAAACAATGTTTATTTTGACAGAAGCTGCTGAGAGCCTTGTGAATACCCTAATCTTACTGCCTACCCTTTCCTCTGCTAAGGATCTGAGCAAGTCTGACAAAACATGCAGTTCCAAGAACACTGAGATGTTTTCAAGGATCAGTAAAATCCCTTTCCTGTAATTTCCTGTTGCACTATTCAGCTTTTCAGGATGGTTTGGCTCAGCAAAACCTACTCGGAAAAAGAAAGCAAGAAATAACTTCCTCACATGTTCATGGCAAAAGGCAAGATGTCCCCCTGTCACCAAGAAAAACCATATGCTCTCAGCAGCACTCCAACAATACACACAAATTTTAGTGTATTGAAATTTTAGTGTATTGAAAAACTGAAATATTTTGCTTTGTGCAAAATATTACACCTCACTCCATATGTTTTCACAGTGAATGGGTTTGAAATGTCTGTTCATTACCCAGAGGATCTGTTACAGCCACTGGGCATGAGGAGAGTCCAGATGCCCACACTGCCCAGCACTGCAGGGTTCAGTTCCTTTACAACACCCCAAGGAAAGCTGCTAATCCACAGTCACACACCACAAGGTCTGGTTTCAGATGACCTCCCCTTTTACTGCTTACAGCAGAGCAATTGTGCAGAAGTCAGGCAGGGGGAAAGGTATTTCACATGGCTCATCTTCCTGCCCCATCAAACACAAGGGGGTCAGCAGCAAGAGACTGTGGATCTCCACTCATATATATTGGTGCAGAATTGTAGCAGTTTGGGCAATCCTCTTGGCTTTTATATAACTTTAAATTATTGCGTAATCATATCTGGGGGGAGGTTCAGTCACAGTGGCCATTCACAGGAGCTGGAGGGTCTCAGCCACTGGGAGAAATGAATAAAAATGCAGAAAAATTGGCAAACAAGAGGCTCAGTTTTTCCTGCCTGATTACGTCACATCAAATGTTAATTACAATAATTTGATGTTGTCCAGATTGTAGCACTCCATCAAGTTAATGAATTTTAGCATGGTGACAAATGGGTTTTTTTCTATGTCTGCTGTTCAATATTCTCCTTTAAGTGAAATTATTTTAAATCATTAAAATGTCAATAAATTTCAGAAATAATTTTGCATGTAAAGCATACAAGTATTTTGCAAAAGTTTTCCCAAAGTTTCAGCTCTCTATTTAAAAACACATGCAGTTAATTTCTGTTAACTGGTCCTGCCATTCACAGTTACATCAAAGACATTCAAATCACATCAGTGGATTTCTGCATCCATGCATCATCCATAGCATCAGATTGTGCAGAACACTCTGTTTAAGAGTCAGAGAGGCACTTGGATTTGAAAGCAATCATTTCTGTGTTTTCAGAGAATGAAAATGTGCTGATGACTGAGCAACCTCACAGCTGCAGAAACAAATGGTATTTTTCCTTCTGGCTGCCTCCACCAGCATCCTCACAGATGACTTTTGCATCCTTTTTCCTCAGTTACTGCAACACTGCATGTATAGCCATGTGCATGTTGATGTTCTGCTGTTAACAGAGACTTGCACTGCAGAACCTCTAATTACAAACTTGCGCCCTGTCTAGATGATAGTCTGTCAAATTAATAAACTACAACCCTGTCATTTATGGTGCAACCTGTGTGTGGCTTTCATGTGGGGCTTTTTTGTTACTTTGATCAAGAGCATAAGAGTGTTATTGACATAGACACAAAAAGTAATATTAGATCAGAAAAAGACTTATAGGATGGTATAGTCAGGGGCTACTACAAAAACATGTGTCTTCTTTCAGGTATGGGCCAAGCATTTATTCTTCTATATTGCATAAATCTAGTGTCTGCTTCAAGTAGAGATAACCAATGTAAAAGGAGGCAAATGACTAAATGACTTGAGAGATGGAGATACAAGCCCTTAACTACAAACTGATCAAGTCCATCAGGTGCTGAGCACGTCTTGCAATGGGAGTGAAGAAGAAAAAGAGAATATCACAGTCAGCCAAATTCATCCTTCTAAGAAAAAAAATAATGCTTTTCAAATATTAGTCTACATTGAATTGCAATTTTTGTCCTTTTTTGTTGTTGTTATTTTAATGTAAACTTATGCAAATTAGAGTAATCCTCTCCCTCCTGAATACAGGAAGGATTAGATCTTTAATTTCATCCGCTGCAGTTGAAAAATTTAATAAGTGCTTCTTATGAAATTAAGTTTTAAAATAATTACCTTGACAGAAATAATTATACCATCATCTTTCCCTTATATTAGCAAATAAGGCAAAAGAAGAAGAAGAAAAAATTCTGTGTGATATAATGTGCACAGAATGGATGAATGGAGGAAGTCAGTCTTAAAATTAATAAGGGAGGAGATAACAGAGATTGAATAGAATAAATAACCATTCCTGTTTCTTATGTGACCATGGTGAACCTATGAACCAAAACTCTGAGGACACCTGGACTCCAGCAGGGAGAAGCAGCTTCAGTGCCTCCATGCTGAAAGGCTGAATATCTGCCTGAATAAGCAGCCAAGATAAAGACTTTAAATTCTCTGGTCCTCTCTCAGGCATTTTGTCTGTCACCTGGAGCAGATCCTTAAGACATCTACACCTCCGATGTTATTACTGAGTCACTTTTTACTTTTGAGTGTGCAATTCTCTGTCCTGAATGCACAAGAACACAGTATATCCAAAAGCACCAGTGCCAAATCCCATGCAATTCTACTGGCTTGCTGTTTTACTCAGAACTTTTGTAAATGTTCCAAACATTTACACCTACAACCAGAAGAGAATCATTAATATTGGATTCAAGATATTAACTATAGCCAGGCATCCAGGTGTAACTAAGCCCAGAATCATCCTAATTAAATATCATAGAATATCATAGAATATTCTGAGTTGGAAAGGACTCACAAGGTCAATCACAGTCCAACTCCAAGATAATAAAGCATGTCTGCAGAACATTTCTCCTTGTCTAACCTGGTATGTTTAATAAGCTTTATTGCTGCAGCAGCCAGAGGAATTCATTTGAGCCTCATGAGCAGCAATCCCTCAGCTGCAGCAGCTGCTGCATCATTCAGCCCCGGTTGCAGAATTGCAGTTCCCAAACCTCATCTTTCATTTGAGCCACTGAAGCACTTCACCCAGACATGCTCCTGGAACCACACAGTGATGAAGAAAATACTGAAAATGTGAATTAATAATTGTCTTGGCTTTTCCTAAGGAAATATTTTTATGATTTTTCAAGTTTTCTTCTTGAACATCTATGAGTTGTAAATGGAAGATGCAAACATCATCATGCTTGCTAATTCCTGTAGGACAAAATTATATTTTCCTTACAAATTTTGCAGGCAGCATTGTGTATACACCACAAGATTCCATTTAAATTTACAAAAAAAAAGAAAAAAAAAGAAAAAGAAAGAGAAAAAAAGACAGTCAAAAGAGTATGCAGTGCGTATTTTGCTTCAGTAACTCTGACCTTTAGAAATATTCAAGCTGCCGTTTGATTTAACATTTCATCAGCAAATACATTTTAACACACAGAGGATTATTCTCAAAGTTCACAAAACTGTTTGCATAGATGAGAAAAGGACTACAAGATTGTAACAGAAAAAAATAACTGTAGGTTTCCTCCAAGTGTAGAGTAATCAGAAACTAACAAGCTTGCTCATACACAGGCTGACATCACAGACTTCTAATCACTCCCAGCTTCAGGGGAGAATTTAATTAACAGCTTGGTTCAAAGTTGACCAGGAAAACTTCCACTATATCAATGGATTATTTCTCTGGATTAAATCCTCACTTCCGTTAGATATTTTCCTGCAACAATGTCACAGAGCAGAATCAAAAATCCTGTAGCTAGGACATAATTTCTACATAATTTCTGATTCTGATGTGTGACAGAGTATGAGGAGAGTAGCTGAAGACACCAGAAAACAGTGAGGTTACACCATCACCACCCCCTAGCTCTTGTCCTGGTTATGGATCACACACCAGTCCACTTGTTTAGCATAGCAAGATGCCCAAGGCAGATCACTCTCACTTCAGCCAAACTGGTTTCGTGTTTCTTTTTCCTAGGTTTAGTAGCACAATACAACTTTAATTCCTCCAACTGGGCAACTGCTCTTTTTATAGCCTGTCCGGTTTTCGGCTGTTTGGAGGGCCTGGAAAGGCCCAGGGTGGCCTTGGGGCAGCCCGCGTATCAAAGAACGAGAAGAGGCTTCAGTTCTTCTTTTGGTCTCTATGTTTATTAATTGTTTATCTAAAAGATTTTCTTTCTGCCCGACAGAGGTCTGCTCAGCAGCCAGCCATGAGCACACTGTCCTGCCCTCCGGGCAGTCACCTATCTTTATACCCATGGTTACGTGTACAATATTTATCATTTTTCCCCAATACCTTTTATTCTTATTGCCCGGTGCACTTTCAGTAATGACCAATCCCAAAGTGCCACCATCACCACAGAAGATGGAGGAGAAGAAGAAGAAGAAGGACAGGACACGCCCCAATTCCTCCATCTTACTTCTCTAAACCCCCCTGTACAGAAATCTTAAACCCTGTGTCTCACCCTCTAATTAACTAATCCCTTCACCATTCACCCCGGTGAAATCCTCCTATCCTCATACAGGTGTCGTCTCCTGTGTAGGATCAAAGTCCAGCCACCAGACACTTCTGGCAACATTCCAGGACTCCCGAGCCCCCCAAGGGTGGTCTCGGTGACTCGGCACCTCAGTCCTGAGGTGCTGAGATCCCACAATAGCCAATGCTTTCCTTTTTCTCTGTTGCATTATTTAAATATTCTTTCACAGATAGTGGCACTCAGGTTAAATATTTTCAAAATCAATTTTAAAAAACCCTTCAAAGTATTACTTGTGTGGAGGTAAATTTTAGCATGACTGTAGTGGATTTCACTTTTATAGGGGTCGCTCTGTTTATGTTTGTAGATATTTGAAGCGGAAAATGAGCTTCAGAAAAATATTAACGAAATATTGCCGAGTACACTGAAAATTATGCATTGAATTATTCATCACATTATTCATCTCATAACCCTTCCGAAAATATATTTTGTAAAGTCCAGAAGCAACAATACTGTGTATGAATGTGGTGGTTTGACCAGGAAGGAGTGGGAATTCTGGGAAGCTGTGGTCAAACCAATGAAGGTTTTGGGTTTGAGACTGGCACCTGGTGTAGCCAGTGGGGTTTGGACACACCTCCGAGAATACACAGGGGTTAAAAAGCAGGGCACTGCCCTTGGCACTCTCTCTTGGGACGTCGCTGTGAAGAGGTCAGATCACCCTCCCCTGTCCAGCCTTGCTGCTGGGCGGGGGAGGGGCAGCCATGCGGTAGGCCCGGGGCCTGGACAGAGATGGGGGTGAGAAAGCTCTCAAGGATGGAAGGGTGGCGGAGCCCCAAGAGACATCGGGCAGCCATTCCCCCCCCCAGGAGGGAGAGAGAGGAGAGCCGGCGTCTGAATGTGATAGCAGCCAGCCCGGGAGGAGAAAGGGGAGGGAAGAGTGCAGCCTGGCCGGCGGAGCAGCAGCACCTGTGGGAGTACCAGCATTCTGAGATAGACAGAGACTGAAAACTTTTAACCCTTTCTTTCATGATTGGGGCCTTGCAAAAATGCTAATCCTCCTCGAAGCTGAATAAGAAGGGAGATAAGAGATGAGATGAGACAAGGACCTGGCCCGAAGAACGTGGAGATGATTGAAGGGGAAGAGATGATTTGGAGTGGCCTTTTGGCTGGACTTTTCTTGTGGCCATGGACTCAGTTGTTCCTGTGACACAGACTGCATTTAGGGGGAAGCAGTGGCTCAAAACCAGGAGGGTTCTTCGTGAGGACCCCCCGGCCCCAGGGGGTTGGAAAAATATGGGGGGGACAGATGTCCCAAAGCAGAGACTGTGCCTTTTTGGAGTGAGACAAGGCATCCTTGAAAGACAACCCTAAAAGCAGCTCTGGCCATGCGTCAGTGGTGAGAGCACTGGGCATGGAAGGAAGATGTCACAAGCGGCAAAAGGACTTTTTCCGGGCGGTGCCGAAGTGACAGGGAAGCACACGAGGTTTCAGTGTGTTTCCAGGGGAAGCCTATGGAACAAGAAGGACTCCTTTCCTCTTCATGAACTGCAGTTTGAGTATACTAAAATGTGGGGCCAAGGCTGGGCAGTTGATGATTTGGGAGAATGTATCGGATTGGGAAAGTCAGGTAGTGGGGAGGGGGGAAAGTGGTTTTTGTAAGGTTTTCAATTTTTTTTTCCTTTTCCTTATAGTCTTTCCCTATTTTCCTGTAGTTTAGGTAATAAAGTGTTTTTTATGTTTAAGTTGGAGCCTGTTTTGCTTATTCCTGGTCACATCTCACAGCAGACACCAGGGTGAGGCATTTTCATGGAGGGCACTGGCTCTGTGCCAGGCTCAAACCATGACAATGAAGAAAATGGCACCAAGAATCCAACTCATCCTTGGACTGATGCTTCCCTTCCTTATCCTGTTCTCCAAGGGGACAGAGAGTTCAAGAGTTTTGTTGAAGAGTCCAGGAAAGCTTTCCTTGATTTCAATAAACAGAACTCCCCTTTATTAAGGATGAATTTAGGTTACTGCTCTACCTCAAGACCTTCCACAGCTGAAAAGAGACATCAAAAATATCTTTGAGTTGCTGCATTTATTCTCAAAAAAGGGCAGCAAGAGTAAGTGTGCAATTGCTTTCTGACTAAATCCTAACAGGCTGTAGGTAAAGCAGGGAAACAGACCTCTAGCAAATGAGTTTGAATGCCTATAGAGCTTCTTGCTCCCAGGAGTAATTTTGTCTCCCTGATGTGCTTTACTTGGCTGTGTGGAGGCTACCTGCCAGTGTCCATCCCACACACTGACAGAGACATGGCTCCAGGAAGTCTCAACATACAAGGATTGGGAGGAAACAAAATAGAGTTTCTTCACCCAAGAGGTGGTTATACTGCAGGACTTCATCATAGAACTTTGTGATTATGAAGACTTGTGGTTCAAAATGGCTCTGGGCAAATTAATGCAAAACCAATTAAACCGGAGGATTATTAAAGAAAAATTTTGGTGCAAACAGAAATAAACCCCCTCCAGAAGCTCTTGAACTTTACTGGATACTGGCAAAGCCCTCCAGGATATTACCAAGTTTACCCTGCCCTTCCCTTCTTCCCTGGCATTCTAAGATTGCCTCGTTTTCCAAATAGACCTTAAGGCTCATGAAGAACAGCCTTCCTCACAGTTCCATGCTCTTCCTCCCTGCACTACTCCTGCAGCCAGCCAGGAATGCGCTGGAAAGGCATCCAGCCTGATGGGGATAAAGCAAGTCACTAAAGGATCCATAAAGTCACATTTTACTGATGACACCATAACTTCTCCAAAAACGCTGATCCTACAAGAGATTAAAGTTCACTGACAAAGAGATTTGCTTCCCAGAAAAAACCCAGATGACAATTCTCACTACATAAGTTTCCAAGTCCTGCCAGGAGCCCCTAGATAAATAATGTCCCAGGTCAGTTGTAGCACAGTCATCTCCCCAGAGAAATTTATCTGAAGAACAGGCTTAAAATATCCACAGAGCTGTTCAGTGCTTGGGCAGTGAGTTACAAATATTTATTGATTTAGCTTTCCAACAGACTCAAGTACTCAGCCTGTTATCTAGGATGAAGGTGTGTATTTCCCTCTTGAGTCCTGCCAGGAAAGCAGAGGATTTCTGCCAGACTAGTTTATTGCTATTCTCCTTCTCCCATGGCTGTTAATACTACCAAGACTGTTATGCCAACCTTCTGCACAAGGATTAATTTTACCCTCTGGCCTGCTACAAACAAGGTGAGGTTGGCTGGTGCCTTCGTAATGGGCTTGCTTATTCCTCAGAGTAGCACTAAGAAAGGAGCACTCTCCCTGCCATAACCCAACTAAATATTTGTAATCAATATCCTTCCTGAAAACTGCATACATACATATTTTATGTGACAGAAGAACCATTGCAGGGAGAGGTACAATCCAGCAATGCCACCAGATGATTTTCCATACAATTCATTTTATTAACTCCAGCCTTGTTCTGTGCCAGACATGAGACTTTGATAGCTAGTTTCCTAAATGCCTGCTGTACTTGACAAAGCCAGATTTAAAAAAAATCTCAATGGTATTTTTTCCCTATTTTAAAAACAATCTAAGATGAATAGATAATCAAAAAACTTCCTTTGAAACTATTGCATTTTCACTGATTCGGTTTCACAAGCTCACTGTTCATTGTAGCCTGGCAGGCACTCTGCACAGTGCATGCTTATAAAGCTATTATCTAAATCTGATGGTTTACAATCCCTGAGGATTTGTCCATGTAAGTTTAACACAATGCTGATCAGCTGTAAGTGCCATAGGGATAGGGGTTTTAAATTATTCCCAGCACCTGTAACTCAATTGGCCGAAAAAATTGCTATGCTTTTATGTTCAATTCATCATACCCAAAATTTTAGTGCTGTTAGCCACAAAAAGGATCTGAAGATGCTTTGCTTGCATCCACTTATGGAGCAAAAGAACTGAGATCCTGTTTTTAGTGCACCTATATCAGCTTACAAAGCCTGACCAACCAGCAATACATTACGGAACAGAAAAAGCCAAAATCTCTTTAAATCTCAATTCCCCTGTTGTCTTCTTTTCAAGTTTCGGTTTTATTAATATGCCTACTTTTCATCTTTTAAATAATTGGCAGTTGCCCAATTGCAAACACACCTTTCATCATTTAAAAAGCCCACAAATCTCATTATGCCTTCTCCTCCTGCATCCATGGAGAGCAGCCCAGTAGGCATTTGTTAAACCTCTCCTTTGAAGTACTATTGTTTGGATGTCATGGATGTTTCTTCCAACCTGAGCTTATGAAAGAGACAATATGCTTTCCACTCTGTCATTTCCACACAATTTAGAGACCACGTAAGGCAAGGAGATGAGAAATTTTTTCCTACCATTTAACAGGGGAAAAAACCCAAACTAACTTCTTTACATATAATTATTTTTCTAAATTTTCAGGTGGTTCGTTAATCACTGTTCTGCATTTTCAGCAGAACTAAATTAAGAAAAAATAAATTACTTTTTATTCTGATTCTCTCATTCAGCTAAACAGAGTATTTGAGACCTGATGAGGTACAATACCTGTGCCAGCATGTTTTTCCTCCGT